AGGCAAAATTACCCAAAGCGTGACAACGCGACATTTCCCCCATTCGTCGCTATGTCGCATTGTCGCCCTTTGAAGGAATAGAAAAATATTATTCAAAACGCGACATGCGACATCGCGGCAATGCGACAAATGGGCGAAATGTTGCGTTGTCGCATTGTCGCGCTTTGGTTAATTTTGCCTCATTTTGCTTGCTTTTGAGAAGGCGACAACGCGACAATGTCCCTTCTCGGATTCCATAGTTTTGCAAAAACAAAAGTTTTGTGTGGTTCCTCAAATTTATAGTTCAAATATCCCTGGTATTGTTTCTTTTGCCTGTAAGTTTAGTTATTGAGCACAAGCACATACACACACCCGTCAATAGATCAGATGATCTGGTCCACGTGCTTTCAGGAGATTATCTATGATGTTTGATTAGAAGTTTACAAATTACCGAATGCCGATGTGGCGTCATCGTTTTATCATTGCATGGCTTTACCCGTGAAGATCCGGGTTAAAATGATCTTCAGCAACCCATGCTTGTCGTAAGTGGCGAGTAACGGGATCGGGTGGTCCGGCTCGCTGACTTGGTTGACACATGTCATTATATCCCAATTGCGCAGATCGATGCTCATGCTGTGGATCACTGGATTGTCTGGTCCAGACTCGATTATTTGCAGATCTCCGTCATATAGCTGGAATATTGCTGAACGTGGCGTTGAACAACAACCAACCAACCAATGGTTCCTGCATGCAATTATTGGACCTGTAAGGGATAACAGACCAATGATGCCTGATTTCGTGGAATGATTTATCAAGGTCCATACATACAATCTAGACCTCACTATCAAATCATTGACAACGGAGACCCTACCACTGATGCATCTTCCATAGTGTTGGATCTACCACGGTTCGTACATACCACGTTAATTCAATGTCAGGCCAATTAAATTCGACCTGTTCAAGGTAGAACCGAGCGACGATGTCTGTTAAACATTCTGCTGTAATGCACATGTCACAACACACTGTTGCTTATTATTAAAATTAAATGATTGCAGCTGGCCATGAATTTACCCTTTCCATGTTGTTGCACTACATACTACCAATCAAAAGTTTAGACTCACTATTCTAAATGTAGCCACTTACTACAGTCAACTGTTCTAAACTAGATTTTGCTAAATATTCCATAATGTTTAAAGGTACTTCAAATACATGAACTGACGTATTGTAAAACAAATTCGTAACGTTGAAAAAAATATTTTCATGAGTACAATTAATGATGAAACTCAGTTAAAATTGGCGAATTCTTAACAAAACTTTACACCAAAACGCAGCTGTTCACATGCACGATATGTGCACATGTTTTTAAGAATGTTTTTCTTAAAAGCATGTATATATACAAACATATATACTCAGTGCTTTAAGTGAGTCTAAATTTTCGATGGGTAGTCTAAACTTTTGATGGGTAGTATCTGTAAGATCACACTGCTTGAACCAATACATACTGAACGTACTGTTTACAACACGGAAAACCTTCCAAGGGTAATAAATGATTTAAAGCGGGAATTTTATAACACTCGACACGTCGAAGGAAAGAGGAAAATGATTAACTAAAAACGTCCGACAGGACGTATAATCACGTATAAAGGAAACAGAATGTCTATAAACGTCGAAAGGCAAGTTTGGCCTAAGCAGGGAAAGGTAAGTAGGATGAAATTTCACAATATTCGTTGACAGAATTTTAAAATACCTGTCTTACCACTCGTGTAACCTTTGAAGTTCCGAATTAGAATTGGTCTTAAGCAACCCATGCTTGTTGTAAGAGAGGTGATCGGCTGGTCAGGTTTGCTGACTGGATGACACATATCATCGAAACCCCCTTGCGTAGATTGATGCTCATTCAATTGATCATCGGTTTGTCTGGTCCAGGCGCGATTTTTTTAAGACATATAAGACAGCGCGGTGTTAAAAAAAAACCCGAACAAACACTCATGTTGTTAACGTAGCAGCTATATATATACTCTCCCCAAAAAGAAACGCATATAGGAATTTCAACTGTATATTTATGTATATTTTGAAACATCTTGTAGGCTTTATGAGTCAATGAAATATAGCGAAATTGCACAATGGGAATGCAGACTTATCCATCTTTGGCACCAACTCGAGGAAAGTCAGTTTGAGTGTCACATGGAGACGTGTGGTGGCGCTGAAGTCAATACCTCGTGTGACCACCGTGGGCATCCAGAACTGCACGGCATCGCCTCGGCATCGAACGAATAAGTCTCAGAATCTCGTGTTTGCAAATCGTAACCCACTCTGCCTGTAGTGCCTGTGCGAGTTGCTGAAGTGTCTTGGGCTGAGGGTTACGGCGTCGCACCCGTCTGTCCAGGGCATCCCACAATGATCGGCGATCGGGTTTAAGTCCGGTGATCTTGAGGGCCAGGGGAGCACATTGATGTTGTGGTTCTGGAGGAAGTCTCTAGTGTGACGTGCTGTGTGGGGCCTGGCATTGTCCTGTTGAAACAACTCCCTCTGGCGATCAATGATTGGAAGGAGGTGTGGGCGTAGGATTTCGTGATCAGGTTGCCCTTGATCATCACCAAATCACTTCTCCTACGGCAGGTGATCGCTCCCCACATTATAACACTGCCCCGGCAGAATCTGTCCACCTGGGGAACGCAAGCGTCGACGAAACGTGCACGTCGACGTCTGTACACCCGCATTCTTCCATCGCGTCGTTCCAATAGAAATCGTGATTCATCACTGAACCAGATTCTACGCGAATTCGGAGGTTCCAGGCCTGAACCTTGGTGCACCATTGAACTCGATGTCGACGATGTTGTTGTCGAAGCACAGGGCCAAAATAAGGTCTTCTGGCACGTAAACCAGCCTCTCTCAACCTGTTCCTGACGGTCTGTGCAGAAAGCCTCCTCAATCCGGGTATTTGTCGAGCGGACTGGTCGCCGTAGCTGTTCGATGACGCAGGTGATGTACCCGGATGTAGCGATCCTGCGCCGCAGTGGTCGCTCGAGGGGCATCTGCTACCGAATTCTGCCGGCGATATCTCTCCCAGAGCCGTGAAATGGTGCTTTGTTGAACATTCATGCGTCGGGCAACTGCACGTTGAGACTGGCCAGCTTCAAGCAAACCAATGGCGATATGACGGTTGGCTTCACTTAGACGTGGCATTTTGCGTTCGTCAACAATATTCCAAATACAGTGAATAATCGACAGACAGCGATCAACCTTTTATACCCATCATTGAGACTATCTGATCCCCAACTGTCACGTGCATTGCATGTGAATTGTGTATTCTGTGACACTACACGCCGAAATTGAAAATCATGCTGTTAAATACGGGTATTTTACGGATGGTGCGTTTTCTTGTGATGTTTCAAAACACCATAGGACTCATAAACAGAGCAAAACCTTTTGTAAAATGAATCACGTTTTAATTCATTGCTACATGAAATTTCTATTTTCATGATGCGTTTCTTTTTTGGGAGAGTATATATATATGGTAAAAAGGTATTTCTATCTCACTGATTGGAAAATAGAAGATAACGGAAATCGGACTCTGCTTTTGCCAGCTCAGCTCAAAGTCAAATGAACCGGACAGCAGGGATGGCTGTATACTTTGTTAATCTTTTTCAAACATATAATTGTAACTAACTAATTAATAACTATTTTCCTGTCTTTGTGTTTCAGAAACCATGTACGTGAAAGTATGGATGTGTCTGCTCCTGATGAAGGGTGTGACATGCAGCAGCCATGTCAGTGGCTGTCACACCAGCTACAGTGCAGCCTACCAGGGGAAGATCACCAACTGTCAAAATCAGAACCTCACTCAAGTGCCATCAGATCTTCCCAAGGACATCGTAGTTTTGGATTTACAAGATAACCTACTCACCAGTATAACCAACAACAGTTTTAGCACTTTACGGAAGCTGAGATTCCTATTCCTCAGCCACAATCCGTTAAAGACACTGCAGAGAGAAGCTTTCAGAGGTCTGAATAAACTCGTAACCTTAAAAATGTCTTGTGACACGCTTTCATTGGACGTAACAACGTACCAAGATGGGCTGTTCCAGCATCTAGTTCATCTGAAGAGATTGTTTCTGATAGGAAGTATAAATGATGACGCACAATTTCCTGTTGATATTGTACAAGGCCTAAACAGCCTAGAAGAGCTTCATATTAACTCATGGCCTGAAGGCGGAAAATGGCCTCAATTAGAACAAGTGAAAGACACACTTAAACTTTTAAATATCCAAGCCATTGGAGTACCTATTCTTAGAAACACAACATTTCAAGCATTGCTTGACATTCCTCTTAAAACGCTTTTTCTAAGTGGTGTTCTAACAAACATAGAAGTAGGAACATTTTGCCCCTTTACGAATCTAACCAAGCTATTGATATCTACCACGTATATAAGCTCTATCAAGTTGGTCTCTATAACAAGAGCTCTTCAGTGTTTGGCTGGAAGAAGAATGGAGGAAATAATACTAACCCGAGTTGTAACCACAGGAGAGAGCAGTGTGACCCTAACAGAGGAAATGTTTAGCTATCTTTCAGATATATGTGTAAAGAAGGTAGACTTGTCAAACAATAAGATTACGCAAGTTGATGCTAATGCCATAACCAATTCCACCTTTTTCAGATGTATTGAATATCTGGACTTGTCCAAAAACATGTTTAATATGGGTGAGCTCTTGTCTGTTGTAATTAACATACACTTCATGGAAAATCTTAAATATCTAGATTTGTCCACACTCAGTAGAATGAGTAGTTCTCTCACTCATACATATAACACTACCACACTAGGAGGTTTTTATTTCCCAATTCCTCCCAATCTCAGTTATCTAAACCTGAGCGGAGTTTCCAATGCTAACCATGTACGTGTTGATTTAACACTGACACAAAGCGATCATCTGTCTGTGTTAGACTTTTCAAGAAAGGATCAATTAGACATTCCTGCATATTTAGAATGTTGTAAAAACCTGAAACTCTTGGACATATCGCACATGACGATCCAACAGAATGTATTCAACAACACCAACATGGTGACGAATCTGGAAACATTGCTTGTTCACGATGTGACGTCAGATGATGACATGTTTGTGTTCCCAACTGAACCCTTCTTCAATGCCATGCCCAAACTAACAAGACTCGATTTGTCAGGCAATAATCTACAACTGATCAACAAAAATACTTTTAGAAACTTTAACAAACTGGAAAACCTTTCTCTTGCAAGAAACCGTCTGAATGACCTTCCGGAAGAAATCCTGACAATGGTTTGGCTCAAACATTTGGATGTGACATCGAATTCCCTCTCAGTCATCAGTAAATACCAACAGACCTTGCTTGATGACATCGTTGTAAATAACGGCTCCTACTACCTCTACATGGCAGACAACATCTTCAGCTGCAGCTGTGGAACCCTTCACTTCATACAGTGGTTACAAGAAACTGATGTCTCTTTAGATGACCATGGCAACTACAGTTGTATCCTTGGTGATGGAACGTTATCTGATACAGCTTCCTTTTATGCCAGAAGGACATTCCATTGGAGAACATGTGTTGGTCAGTTCTGGTTTGCTGTGGGAGTAGTTGGAAACCTGATTGCGCTGTTGTCATTGCTTGTAGCCTTTCTCTTCAAGAAATATTTCCCCAAAATAGAGCACCATTTGTTACAGGTGCTTGGTTATAACCCCGGACGCCGACCAGAAAGAGAGGATTTTGATTATGACGCCTACATATGCTATGAAAGTGCTGAGTACGATTGGCCTTGCCACCGTCTGTTCAAGGAGCTCCCTCTAGTCTTCCCAGGTATACGACTGTACCTGCCCGATCTACATGACCCTGTAGGATGTTCCCAGGCAGAAGTGACCATTGATGCATTGTCGAGAAGCTGGAAAATTGTTATTGTGCTAACAGAGAACTTTCTGAAGGACGAGTGGATTCACTTTACTGTCCTGTCCACTGTGAGACTAATGTCCGTGAACAACGCAATATCAGACCGAGTGCTGCTTCTGTACAGGGATATGTCCTTGGAAGCAAGAGCTCGGGTTCCTCAATATCTCCTCAACGTTGTTTCAGAGGAACATATTCTGGACAGCCCCCATTTCTGGGCACATCTGTGTCAGTGTATCCTTAACGATAAACCCACAGCCTTATTCTAAAGTGTACCACTCTTCTGAGTCACTCCCTGCCAGTGTACACGTCACAAATCAGGTGAATGTAAGCAACGCTGGTGGCGGAGAGACGTTGAATGGGTGACAGTTTTCTTCACCTTGGCTCTTGAAATATGTGAAGGATATTTGAGGTCTCCTGGTACAAGTGTATTTGTTCAAAATATGCCTCCGTTGACCAAGCAGTGAATGGGTACCCGGTATAAGGTAATTGTAATGTGACCGTAATGTGACCTGGGTTGTATATTCTCCTGATAGCCAAGGATGAGTATTAGCTTGTCAAAACGAATCCTTTTCAACTTATCATAAAAGAAAGAATGCTCACTTTCGTTGGTGTTTCAGGCATTATTTATGAACTTCCAAGGTACAAGAAGTGTTAGAAAAGCACAAATAGTTGGTAAATAACTTTGACATTTCTCATGTACTCAGTTTCACTGCTTTCAAAATTGAAGTTAAAACACATTTCAGATTCAGTTTCCCTTCAACAAAGAGTACAGTATTTATGTTTTATCTGTACATATTACATTTTGTGTATGAACTTTAGTGCCAGAACGTCTTTCTTCTACCCTTTATTATTATCTTGTGTATATTGTCAAAAATATCTTCTTAAGTGTATTTAATTACAAATATGCAATGTGGTTTCCGGGAAAAACCCGATGTACTGTTGATCTAATAGTACGATTGGAATCCTTTGTACAAAAAATGTCTTAGTATCTAAACAACACGTGGTCTAAATTTTCTTGATCTTGACAAAGTTAATGATATTGCATTGAAGTACGGCATATAAAATAATTTATATGATTTTGGTTTGAGAGGTCGTTTACCCTTTGTATATCAGACTGGGTTCAACCCCGTCTGATCATCACAGTCAGAATCAGGGTGTTCAAGGCAGTATTATGTCGAAAGGGGTTCAACCCCGTCTGATCATTACAGTCAGAATCAGGGTGTTCAAGGCAGTATTATGTCGATTGGGTTCAACCCCGTCTGATCATCACAGTCAGAATTAGGGTGTTCAAGGCAGTATTATGTCGACTGGGTTCAACCCCGTCTGATCATCACAGTCAGAATAAGGGTGTTCAAGGCAGTATTATGTCGACTGGGTTCAACCCTGTCTGATCATGATAGTCAGAATCAGGGTGTTCAAGGCAGTATTATGTCGGTAGCATTGCACTGTCTTAAAATAAATAGTATTTCAAAAGTTGTAACTGATTCGGTTGATGGATTACTTTTCGTAGATGATTTTAATGTTTCTTGTCGTTTTCGACCTAACATTGACCACATTTAAGAAGTCCGAAACAAACGAATTACAGTATAGACAAGAGGTGAGAATGCATAAAAATCCTTACATACAGATTGATCCTACGATAGTGGCCCTGTTGCTTATGCCACTGTCAATGGATCCAGAACAATATCTTTTCGTTACTTAATAACACTTCAATTTTCACAACCGAAGAAAACGCAATTGTACAGCTCTTAAATTAATCATAAATGCTTTAAATATAAACAATATATAATCTTTTCAGTCTCGCTTTCGTGCCTTGATGCTATTACAAATGTATATTGTTAACATCCACTTGCTACTGGCCAGTGTAGCGCAATGAGATCTTACATCCGTGACTTAATGCAAAAGAAGTGGGACAGCCAAGTAGGTATCAATAAATCAATCAAATAACACCAATGGTTACACCTGTTCAGTCCTGAGGAGGTGATTATGCGACGATGTCTCATTGGCCACACAAGATACACTCATGACTATTTATTGAAAGGTGACGATCATCCATTTTGTATACCTTGTAATGGGAGAATCACGGTGTCCTGCTTGACTCTATAAGCCAACTTCAGTCACAGAATATACATAGCTACCACCACTTCTAATCGTAGAATATTTGTACATTGTAGAAAATGGCTAACACAACGCACTATCGCTAGCAGCTGAAGGGATGGTATAAATCCAGCTAGGGAACCGTGCAGGAAGCAAGTATGGTGGCCTAACTTCCGTTGCTAGCGATCTTTTCCTAATTCATATTTCGTATCGTTAATTCTCAGTGTAATAGTTTAACATTCATTGAACTAGATCTAACAAATATGTGATAACCTAATTTGTTTACTGTCCTTCGTTGACGGAGTTTTATATGTAGTTATCATGAATTTAGGACTTGTTTTTGTCACGATATGGCTGAAATACTGCCGATGAGACTTAAATTCTTAACTCACTAACTCTTAAGTGTATTAATAGTCGATTCCGGTGTTAGACCATGATTATCGAGTCAGTCGCTTGGCAAACACCAGTAGATACCATCATTGTGAGAAGATATATTTGACACATCAGCTAGGTACATGTCACACCGAGCATGCAGTGCAATGTGTTGTGCTTGAACCTATACCACTCCTCCAAAACCTTGTGTTACAGGCATGTGTCTGCAAGTACAAGTCTTAGATCTATTGAGATGTAACGACTGTTATTAAATACAATATGATTAAATATTAAGTACCCTAGACAGCTTTTGTTGTTGTTTTTTCTAATCTGGCATCTGGCTGCAAATGGAAAGTGTGTGCTTCAAATAACACCTCACGTGTAACAACAAACTATAACAGCTTGAGATTCCAACTGAGGCCCGGTGCTAGGTGGAAGGAATTATTTCATTTCGCCTTCCTTTCAAACTAAACCTTTGCGTCTGTCTATAGCCTTTAACTAGCTACACACAAGACTAAATTTAACAATTATAAGGCTGCACATATGTGAAAATCAAGATGTGACCAAAAATCATTTGGGAACTAAAATGCCGATGTCCGGATGCTATAGCTCAGGTCAAGTTGGAGTTGTTTTCCCTATATTGAATGGCCAAAAATCAATCGAGCAATCATACTTATGTGGCGGTCATAACATGTTCCTGTCCCGTACTGGCATTCGAACCACACACCTTCTTATCCGAAGCCAAACGCCTTGTCCACCTGACCAAAGAGGTTAAACCCACAGCAAGCTGACGTGGTAACATCTGTGGGGTGACACCTTCCATGCTACACTTATGCTAGAATTAATTATAAAAAATATAGTTTGCAGATTACAGGGTTCATTCTTAAAAATCTTTTAAAAGAACATATCGAAATCACACCTTCCCTGCGAGAAATCTGGTTATTTGCGACTGACAAAAATCGTCACGCATTTTGGAGGCCTCAGTTCGACTCACGGGGGAAGCACCTGATTGGGCTTGTCACGGTGATTACCGAACGCTTCACTGAGTTCCGCAGAGCGCACTCCATTACCCTACCCATAACATCTTTGACTGCAGACCACTGAAGGGAATCAGTATTTTCCCGAGCAAGGGATCCAATTGGATATCAAATTTATTGTCCTTTTCGCCAAAGCGATATATTTTAGCAGGTCCAAGAAAGGAGGTTATGGGTTCGTGATTATAAATCGCAACAGGCAAATGCTACTTCCATCCTTAACCCTTGTCCTGCTACCGGGGGCCTGAAAGGCCCAAACGTAACTTTGATTACACATAAAAACGTAACTGTACATTGGATATGGCTACGTTCCCATGTAATCCTCCCACGTAAGTCCTTAAATACACCAGTTAATTTTAAAAACAACAGTTTATAAAAGTTAAATACAGATTATTACTTTGAAATCTACATACACTAACTGTTACCATGGGCCTCAAAGGCCAAGTCATTCCCCATCCATATATCAATTTAGCTATAAAATTGTCATGGTATGGCAACATATGCTCTAAGGTAGTCACTATGAAGCGTCAGACGAGGAAAAGCGGTAATTTTGGCCAATTTTTAGCACATCTACAAGAGGATGATGCTCAAATGCAAATTTTACATAGACAGTTGTTCCAACAGTTAGTGTGTACAGTGAAGATTCTGTGTCTGATGAAAAAACTATGGATTAAGAAGCCTTTTTAACAAGCAAACATGGCAGCATCTGGTCTTTAAATCCACCACCACATGGACGTGTTGCATAGACAAACATTTTGTAAAGGCCACTGCAGAAAGTTGACAACGTGGATCATGTGACAAATAAAGTGGATATGTTTCAGCTGTGTATTTCAGAGGAAATGGTAAATGACATTGTTACAAATACAAACGCTGAAGGAAAGAAAAAGTGCTAGACATAAAGGAAAGCCAGAATATGCATGGAAAGTTACAGATGTTGATGAAATTTATGCCTTATTACGGATTCTTAACAAATGTGGCCATAAGAGCTTTATCCTTGGCTTTAATAACCGGATCCAGTTCAGAATGGTTGGCATCAAACCAGTCCTGGTTCTTCCTTTCCCTCTTGTCGAAGGCTTGTGCCATCCTGTTCTGGCAAGTCTTGGAGTGTCTCTTTCACGGCAGCTACAAATTCTTGTCTACGAAAGGGGTCTTCTGTTCTTGCAACGTTAATGCGGGGATGACCTTTTGCTTTGCAGTATGCAGCTTACATGGCTGTATGCTCGCTTTGCTGCACACGAGGGCATGATCAGTGTTGCAGTCGGCGCTGTGGTAGCTTCTCGTTTCCAGGACAGTTTTTACAGCTGAGCGTCTCGTGAGCACGAGGTCCTGTTAGTGCCAGCGATGAGACCTTGGGTGTTTCCAGGACACTTTGTGTTGGGGCTTGGACTGGACGCAAAGCCTGTGGTATGAGCACAGCTCCAGAAATTCTGTCCATTGTCGTTCATCTTTCCGACGCCGTGGAGACGGATGCCAGGACTGGTGATCAGATCCCACCCGGGCATTGAAGTCGCCAAGAAGGAACAGCAGCTCCAATTTCGGTACCCTGCCAACATGGGTGTAAAGCTCATTATAGAAAAGGTCCTTGATGTCTTCTGGACTACTCAGGGTAGGAGCATAGATACTGAGGACATTGACAAATCCTGCAACTGTAGCCATGCGGATTGACAGTATACGTTCTGTGCCACCTGTTCGGGGTTCCACTGAAGCTACATGTAGAAGATTCTCAACTGCAAAGCCAACTCCAAGTATTCGTGGTTCATTGG